AATAGAAATATGAGATTGTGATCGGTGAGGCGGCAATAAAGTGTAATTTCCCTACCACCAATTAACTACAGAATCATCTGATTGACCAGTTTTCTAAAAAAGAAGATTTTGTTGATATTAGGAAAACCGACACGAAGATGAATTGGACAATAACGTACGCACGTCAAAAATATATAAGAAAAAATTAAGACTTAAGAAACTCAGAGAAGAATGAAATATTTTTTGTAATAATGTTGGCACAACGATGCTATACACAGTACACAACCACTCAAAATCTTTCTCTTTGTATATTTACATATAAAGAAGAAAGATGAAGAAAATAAACTTCATTCTGGGGCTTGAAGTCACATTAAATAACAAAACTACAAAATCTAGACTCGTGCTTAACACAAAAACAAAAGACCAATTACAATTACAAATTCATATATGAATGTTGCCATTAATTATACTTTTAAGTTAAGGTCTTGGTTGAGATGAAAAAGCAAGTGATAGGAGCGGGATTTGAACCTACGACCTTCAACTTGGAAATCACGATAGCTCAATTGGTTATAGCAACGGCGTATTGAGCCGATGGTCGTGGGTTCGAATCCCGCTCGTGAACTTGCTTTTTTTCATCTCCACCAAGACTTTATATTAGAAGCATAATTAATTACAATTACAAAGTTACAAAATACTCTCAAATTCACTATTTTTCGTAGTCCACTTGACCAATTAATACCATTCAATTAATTAAGGTTTTAAGTTGAGATAAAAAAGTCGGTGCCACGAGCGGGATTCGAACCTACGACCTTCAACTTGGAAATCACGATAGCTCAATTGGTTATAGCCGATGGTCGTGGGTTCGAATCCCGCTCGTGAACTTGCTTTTTTTCATTCGAACCCAAGACCTTCGGCTAGATACGCCGCTGCTCTACCACTTGAGCTATCGTGACTTCGATCCACTCGGGCACTAACTTCCCATCTCAACCCCACCTTTTGAATTTTCCCTCCTTCTTGCCATTTTTCAAATGCGGACCACGAAAAATAGAGAATTTAATGAATTAAAATGAAGTATACTTCACTAAAGCTCTCCGTGGCCATTTCATTTGTCGCCGAGAATCAAATAGATTACAAGACATTTGAAAAATGGCAAAAAAGGAGGGAAAATTCAAAAGGTGGGGTTGAGATGGGAAGTTGGTGTCCGAGTGGATCGAAGTCACGATAGGTCAAGTGGTAGAGTAGCGGCGTATCTAGCCGAAGGTCGTGGGTTCGAATCCCGCTCGTGACACCGACTTTTTTTTATCAAAACTTAAAACCTTAATTAATTGAATGTTACAAAATACAATTAGAAATATACACATATAAGGGACGGATAATAATAATTTATCAATTAAGCCAACTGATACTAAGTTGCAATGACAAGAGGTAATCAAATAGTCGGGACTTAAAAAAATGTTTTCCGTTAATTTCATACGCGTTTCTGCTTCACGCCATGTTCAGTGATTTCTCATAGACCGTCAACTGTACCAGTAGATGTACCAAGTAAAGCGATCAGTTTCGCTCAGTCGTTATAACCTTATCATGAGCAAATAGTCAATTTTTAAGTCTTATTAAAAATGTTCGAATAAAAACCTGTCAATTTTGTCAAATGCTGATTTCAACAGGCAAACAAGGAAGTTAAAACAGAGTCGTTTTTAAAAATCTCTGCCATGTGCCATGTGTTGCATACCTCAGACATAGCTTTCGTTTACACAAGCGGCAGTTATTTAGAAAATTACCCAAATCTACAACTGAAGGTAAACAAAAATCCTGTAGAATTAGAAAACAACACTATATTTCTGCTACAAAACAAATGTAGTAAAGAAAATATTTTTTGCTAAACCTTTTGCTCGGATGTGTTTCAATTTGCCATCTTCAGTGTGGGGGTCTAGGGGATTTTCCTTCATTCAAAGCTCACAATATTTCGTTAGTTCAACGTTTCTTGGCCTGTCTTTTTCTCTCTAGAGTATCTTTCTTCTTTTCTGGTATTTCTTCATTTTATTTTTTTCTCTCTCACACCACTCTCTGATTCTCACCACCTTTCTATCCTCTCCCTCCCTCTTTCTCTAAAATACCCTTTTTTCTCTCTCTCACCCTATCTCTCTTTCTCTCACTCACTTGCTTTGCTTGACGGAGAAGAGATCTCCTTGTCTGTTTCTTATATTTCATCCTTTTTTTTTCAGTCTTTCCCTTTCTCTGTCTCTGTCTGTCTGTCCCTCTCTCTCTCTCTCTCTCTCTTTCTCTTCGTTTCCTTAAACGATTCTAGATCTCTTTGTCTACATCCTTTCCTTCATTATCTGTATCTAATTGACTGAGTCTAGCCACACTGTTCTGCCCTTTGTAAACGTACAATTTTTGTCGACTGGGTCTTTGTCTGTTCATTTTTTACTATGTCTGTCTTTTAGACTCTCTCTCTCTCTCTCTCTCTCTCTCTCTCTCTCTCTCTCTCTATTTCCTTACTTGTCTGTTATCTTATTATGTGTATGTTTTGTTTGAATGAGTCTGTCTCTCGATCTCTGTTCTGTCATTGTATTAACAGTTAATATTTAAATTTAGACAGTCAAACCCAAAATTATAATTTTCGTTATATTTTACATTCCATCAGTGTTGATTATTGCAAGTTCAATGTAAAATAATATGAATCCGTATGTTTTTTTAGTTGGTCGTATTTAACCAAAGTAATGATTTGATTATGGCTCAGATGGGAAAAAAAACAACCCCGAAGGTCGTGGGTTCGAGTCCTCGTGACAAAATTTTTCATCTCCACCACATTTTGGATAAAAATTAAAAATCAAAATGAAATAATATTTATTAATGATGTTTTTGTGGTTCAACGTGCAATGTTTTGGCCACAATTGGCATCTCAACATTGTAACAGTGTTTTTGTTTACATTTATGATTTTTTGTAACTTGATAAAAACAGTTCATGTACAGATATAGTATATTACAAAAAAAGTAAACGTAAAAAAATTGTAACAGTGTTTTCCTTTATATTTATAATTTTTTGTAACTTTATAAAAACAGTTCATGTACAGATGTAGTATATTACAAAAAATGTAAGTGGAAAGATATTGTAACAGTGTTTTGTTTTACGTTTATAATTTTTTTGAAACTTTATAAAAACAGTTCATGTACAGATATAGTATATCACAAACAAAATGTAAGTGGAAAGAAATTGTAACAGTGTTTTCTTTTATGTTTATAATTTTTTGTAACTTTATAAAAACAGTTCATGTACAGATATAGTATATTACAAAAAAATGTAAGTGAAAAGATATTGCAACAGTGTTTTCTTTTACGTTTATAATTTTTTTGTAACTTTATAAAAACAGTTCATGTACAGATATAGTATATTACAAAAAAATGTAAGTGGAATGATATTGCAACAGTGTTTTCTTTTACGTTTATAATTTTTTTGTAACTTTATAAAAACCGTTCTTCTAAAAACAGTGTTTTCCTTTACATTTATAATTTTTTGTAACTTTATAGAAACAGTTCTTGTAGAGATGTAGTAAGTTAAAAGCATAGCAAATAATTGGAATATTGATCGATATTAATATTCTCTAAAGTAGTCAAGACATGCCCAAAAATTTAAAAAATAATTTTTTTAATATAGTTCAATTCAGGATACTCGTACTTCCGTAGGTAGTTTTTTTGTGCCAAGTTGATTAATCGTTCGTCACTTTTTTTTTAACATTCACAATTGAGATCGTTCGTTTTGGACTAAATGAAACAAATTGACTCGATTTTTTTATTTTCGCGTCGTGGGAGATTATTAATAACAATTTACATTTATAAAGAAAGGGTCTTATTTTTAGATTACAAAGAAAAAACTAGGCTTGCAAAGCAGCGCAAAGTTCCATGCGAAAAGCAGCGCAAGATTAAGCAATAAATCCTAGCTCTTTTGCATGAACAAGCTCTTAAAATGATAAATTTCCATTCAGAACTGCAAAAAAATTCTTACTTGAGAATTATGTTCTACCGACATTTTAAAAAGTAAATTTTTATTTTCTTGTTAAATTTTTATCTATTTATTATTTTATAGTAAACAATATAAGACTTTTTTGTAAATTGGGCAATGTATTGAGTTTTAGATAGGATTATATTTAGTCTATTGTAAGATTTTTTTAAATAGGACAGAAAAGCTGTTCTGAGAGGAAATGAGAAAAACAATTCTGAGAAATGTTAATAAAGCAATAAAAACAGAAAATTACTTAAAAGATTGATAACATTCAGGTTAAATTTCGTTAAAAGACAGTACCTATTGATTTGAATTTTGGAAATTGACTTCGTCAAAAAGGAAAACAAAGGAAGTAATTCGTCCAAACCCAAAGGTACAAAGCTCCAACCAATCGATCCTCGGGCAATTTATTTCCTTGAAGACCTTTTTCCACTTGCACCTCACAAGTTAAAGGCAACTGAAAATCCCCGGGGATTCACATAAATACGAGCCATTGGACTAAAATGGATCAAGTCGTTCATGGAAAATGCCACCCCACGGGGACTTAATTGAGGAAAAATACTCCCAATAATTTGTTCTCGTGTATTTTAGGTCGAGCCTTTTTCGAATTTTCACCAGACCCCCGGATGGATTATTAAACCGATTTGATCCATTTAATCTCAGCATATATTTCTCAAGGGGGCTTTTTTGAAAAACGAAATAATAATTTGAACACGGTTTTATCCGAACCTTTATGTTTAATCATTATCATCTGTAATATTTCAGGGATTTTAAAAAAATATGGTGATATGTTAATTGAAATAAATTTTTTTATCTAGGGGAAATTACTGATATTTACCCACTGGTCATTTTGTATGTTTTTTCACTAAACACATCACTAAAACTTTATTTTCATTCACAAAGAGACCTCTCAGTGATAGATTCACATAACACTTTTGGCTATTTTCATAGGGCATTTTCATCACAACTATCGCGCTTTTGTTTTGTAAATTTTGCAAAAAATTAAATTTTGATTACTTACAGGTAAGTGAGAGATGCGCATGTTGAGGAGTGCACTCTCATACTATCACGGACGGAAGACCATCGACGTCTTAATATAAGAATTGGCGGCCTTGGTTTTCACGCGAAGAGGGAGAGGGTCAGCCGAGAAATAATTATACTCTGAATTTTCGTACCGGAGCATCTCAGAGCCAGCGAATAATTTAGAGAAATTCTAGAATTCCTCGCTCTGTAATTTTGAATTAAATGGCCTGGAATTTCCTGCCTTTTCGTCTTTGAGTGCTCCTGCTCTATTATACATCTATTCAGGCAACCGAAACCAACTATTCTTCGTTGAGAGATGAACGACAAAAACCCTTTTACAGAAAAGTCACAATGTAAGTATTCCGACATATTTACAAAAAAAAAAAAAATTAAAACTATGTCTGGAGACGGTCTATTGAAGAAGGAAATATATTTTAGCTTTTAATCAACGATTATTTTTCACACATGCGTGAATTTCTTTTTATAAAAAAAACTTCCGAGGATAGGTTCAAGTCTTTAAACCCAAACCCACTTCCGCCAATAGACCATTGTCTATTCGGACTTTCACCCCGAAGGGTTGTCACCCCTATGTGCTTACCCCGTACCGGGTGGCCTTTTTAGATGGTTGAATTTCTCTTCAGCGATGCAGTTTATCAACCAGCTAATTCAATGCTCTCAGTTATCGTTATTTAATCTAAAATTTCTACCATTGTATAAATTCATTTTTTCACATCCTACATGTCTTCTGCGGTGAATTCAATTCCGTTAATTTTTTGTTAAGAGAGCTAAAGAGCATTTTTTTGTGTTTATTTATCAAGGGATTGACGTCCAAAAAATTCTTTTAGAATGTAATAAAATAAATGATTAAAATAAAGTTTGAATGAAATTTCTAAATGCGTGGTTTCTAGTGACCGTTAGCCAATGATTATTTCTGGAGATAGTGAGGGGCGGTCTGGTGTGACGTAGGTTAAAAAAAATTCTTTATCATGCCAACGTTTCAAACTTTATTGAGATCATCTTCAGGCCCTGCGATTTATAAACATTGTTTAAGTTTTACTAATACAGTAGGTTGTGAAAAAAATGAATTTATACAATGCTAGAAAATTTTAGATAAAAAAATGANTTTTTAAATCTAAAATTTTCTAGCATTGTATAAATCTATTTTTTAAATCTAAAATTGTCTAACATTGTATAAATTCATTTTTTTTCATCTAAAATTTTTTACCATTTTATAAATTCATTTTTTTAATCTAAAATTTTCTACCATTGTATAAATTAATTTTTTTAATATAAATTTTTCTAGCATTGTATAAATTTTTTTTTCACACCATACATGTATGTGTAAAATTTAAACATGCTTATAAATCCCAGGCTCTGAAGATGATCTCAATAAAGATCGAAACGTTGGCATGATAAATAAAATGATTTTCTAAAACCTTCGTCTCACCAGACCGCATCTCACGATCTTCGAGTATATTATTAAACTTTATTAATTATTATACATAACTAAATTAATTATTATTTCTTTATTATTATATATAAGTTCCTTATTGTTATTACTGTATCTTTATTGTATGCTGAACATTGCTACCGGAAGTGCTATAAGAGGGTCGAAATTAGTTAATGCGAATTGCCTTTGGAATAGTTTACTTCTTCTTAAGAGAAGCTTAAAAGCTCGACAATTATACTTTAGGATGGCAAATTAAATGGTATAGATATTCTTGGGTCAGTTTGCACATGGGAAATCGTTAAATTTTTTTAAATTAAAGTAAATGGTTTCAATAAAAAACAATAAACTATATATTGCGAGATACGGCTAACAAAAATTACTTTCTGACCAGCCTTTTATAGCGAGGAAAGTCAGTAAAAACAGATTTTAAAACATTTACCTGAGATGGTTTTTATTTTTAATTCACAAAGCAGAAAATCTGCCATGGAAAGGAATAAAAAAAGAAAGAACATAAAATAAATGATAAAACAGGGTGTGTAGATTTTTTATTTTATTCTTTTTTTGTTTAAATATATTACTGCCACTCCTGTTGTTACAGTAAAAAGCCTAACAAGCCAATAAAATAGGCATTAAATCGTTAAATTTACTTTTCCACAGTTTGCTTTTTTAAATTTATTTTTCTATCCTTGCAATAACTCTAGACAAAACGTTTTTTTAATATTTTTATTTTGTACATTTTAAAACTATACTATTGTTTGTTAAAGGTAACGTGAATAAGCTCCTAACAATATAAATTTTGAATTGGGACTGTAATCTCTGGTATTACAAGGGTACTTTTCCTCTTCTTATCTCTGCCCTGAAGGTTGGACCAATACCTGAAATGTGCCCGCCCTTCTAGAATTTATGGACGGTAAAATGGAGTTATTTGCCTAATTTTTTTTATTTGCATCCTCTTTCCTTTAAATATTATTTCCCAAGGAGTGAATCTTGCAGTGAAGTTTATCTTGTAAGTTATACACCTTGCAAACAAACAGATAAATTTTCTTTTAAACCGGCCTATTCTTCAAAGTGTACAGTAAAGAATATAGTATGTATAATTTAAATGGTGTATTTCGACAAGAGAAATGTCCCAGGCAAACTGTATCAGGTTAAGAAAACAGTCAGTAACAGATTGAGACTCTCAAATGGCTGCAGGCTGAAACTTTTTCGATGACTTCGGCTGTTCGTTGGCCCATAAACCTCCCACATTATTATTATTTCCTCAATAGGGTTTTTTCCCTGACTCCTTACGTTGAAAACAAGAAATTCTCTATTTTTGTCTAATCGATGAACAACTTTCTCCACCTTTATATCCGCAAACTTCCAAAGAGGTTTAATTAAACCTTAGGTCAAAGTTAATTCCGATCCTTTGTTAATACCGTCGAGAAAATTGATTCTGAGTTAGTTATACCTCTGTTAACAGTTAGCATTTAACGGTTAAATTTGAAATTTTGTTCACCGGACCCATGCTATAATTTTCTCTCTTGGCAAGTTAATAAAGGCATTTAATTTTGAATTTTTTTGTAGTTCACACAAATAAATAGTTCTGATTTTTGTCCAATTTAAAGAAACAATCACGTTATGTATTCTGTTCGAAAAAGAGTTTTTTTAAATTTACTTCGCTCCAACCAACCTTGGTGTCATAAATTTTGCATTAAGTGTAAGATTTTATTAGGTTTCGTGGTCAGGTTGACCAAATAAATTCTTTTCAATTAATTAAGGTTGTAGTTGAGATAAAAAAGTCAGTGTCACAAGCGGGATTCGAACCCACGACCTTCGGCTTTTATGGCTATTATGTATAACATTATTAAATTGGAGAAGAGGACATCGGGAGATTCCGGTTGAAAGATATTAGGCTAGAAGGTCAGGATGACGTTCGAGGGTTTTATGAGTGCACAAGCACCATTTAAAGCCCATAAATACAAATGTTCAATGCTATTAAAAAAACTTAAATTTTTTGGTTGGATTTCCCCGCAAACAATTTTTTTTCGGTGATGACCAAAGTTTATTTTAAAAATGCATAACTCCTTTGGATATTACGAAAGTTATTACGACCTTTTTTCAATTAAATAATCTTTACGTAAGGTATTTGTTGAGATAAAAAGTCAGTGTCATGAGCGGGATTCGAACCCACGACCTTCGGCTAGATACGCCGCTGCTCTACCACTTGAGCTATCGCGACTTAGATCCACTCGGACACTAACTTCCCATCTCAACCCCACCTTTTGAATTTTCTCTCCTTTTTGCCATTTTTCAAATGTCGTGTAATCTATTTTGATTCTCGGCGACAAATGAAATGGCCACGGAGAGCATTTTACTTATTAAATCCATTAGTCCGATTGACCAAATAAATTCGTTTTTGACAACATTTGAAAAATGGAAAAAAGGAGGGAAAATTCGAAAGGTGAGGTTGAGATAAACCAGAGTTGGGCAAAATCTAGCTAATTCAATCATGATTAAGAATTTTGATTGAAGTTAGTCATGAGTCAATTAATCATTATATGATTTAGTCATACCTCATGATTGAATTAATTATGATTAAATCATATAATGATTAATTGACTCATGACTAATTCAATCATGATTAAACTTCAATGAAAATTCTTAATCACGATTGAATTAGTTTGATTTTGTCCAACTCTGGCTACAATGACCAACTTACCAAAATCCAACCGACTCCGGATAAAAATTTTGAGATGAGAAGGGGTGCATTTTCCAAATAATGTAGAAATCTCTCCTTTTAAGTGGAATAAATTTTAATTCAAAGAAATATTTTTTCCATTGAACGGTTATGTAAACATATTTACTTTTCAAAGCGTAGCTTGTTCTAGGATTTTTTTATTTTATTTTATTATTATTATTATCATTATCATTATTTTGTGGCTTCTCATAACGACGGAGTTTTACTTATAATTGTAAGATTGATTTTTGATAAATAAGGTGTTGAAGGATTTTCGTTTTGATGAAATAAATTTCTGTTAGAAAATTTTTTAAAAGTGATGAAGTGTATTTTTCATTTTTTGAGCACCCATTTGAACATGATTTATCGAAATTTAGTCATGACTAACTATATTGTGACTAAATTAGTCATGCCTCGTATTTAATTACTAGTCATGACTAATTTAGCCATCAATCACATATGGCGACTAATGACTAAATTAGTCACTTACTAACAATCATGACTAACGGTCTGGGTGATCAATCATTAATCATTAGACATGAATAATTTTTGCCCAACACTGAGATAAACATTGTCGATATTGAATGACATTTGTTGCCGAGAATCAAATAGATTACACATTTGAAAAATGGCAAAAAGGAGGGAAAATTCGAAAGGTTGTAGGTCGAGATGAGAAGTGGATGTCCGAGTGGATCGAAGTCACGATACTCTCAAGTGGTAGAGCAGCAACGTATCAAGCCGAAGATCGTGGGTTCGAATCCCGCTTGTAACCATGACATTTTTATCTCAATCAAAACCTTAATTACCTAAACATTATGTTTATTATTTAATTGTTTATCTTTTACAATGAAAAATTTTAATTATTTACATATGAAAATGTCACCTGATCCAAATTA